TCTAGATGAAACGAGAAAAATAAAAGCGTTTGTTCGACCTTTCTCTACCCAGTGAAAAATATCTACCAAAAAAAGAAAACGGCAAAGAACACGTTCCATTTTCGTAGAAAGCTTTTTTTAAGAAAAAAACGCTCTACATAAAAAGTGGATTGCGTTCTCACTCTTAAGAAACGTTTTCTTTTCTTAAAAAAAGGGCTTTCACGTTCGTGGAACGCGTTCTTGACTATTACAGTTTAAAATGATGAAAAACGCGCTCCAAGATCAGCTTTTCCGATGAGAATCCCCGAGGAATTCCAAATGATTGGCAAAACCTTCAAGAAACACTTGAGAAGCTAGGCAAAAAAACGAGAAATCTTTGTAGATTGCCTAGGAGCTAAAGCTTCGTAGTACCTAGGAAATCTACAAGGATTTCTCGTTTTCTTTTGTCTAGCTTTTCAAGTGTCCATTGGAGATTTTGTCAATCATTTGAAACTCCTTGGGCATTCTCATAGGAAAAGCTGATCTAGGTTGCAATTTTCCACAAAAGAATATGAGAGAGATTTACTAGATTTCTATACCCATACAGAAACCCTTAACAAAGGTAAATTGGGACGCTGCTCAATCTACCTATAAAATCCATATACCTTATCTAAGAAACATATCCTTATCTAAAACAAATTCAACAGAGAAAATATTTCTCTATCTATTAAATCTAAAATCATGGGTCACTGCCTAAAACTAAACTCCACGGAACAAAACTGACTGCTTCTATTAAGATGGAATGAAAACTAAAGAAAAACTATCTATATCTCCACTAGATGAAAAAAAATGATTTTTCTAATTAAGATCAAATAAAACTAAAGAAACACTAACCTTATCTCTATTGAATGAAAAAAAATGATTATTTGTATTAAGATCGAATAAAACTATAGGTAAACTAACTCTATCTATGCTAGATAAAATAAAAGCAAAAGAAAACTAATGGCAAAGTATACTAATTCGTCAATCATTTTATTTAGTTTTATTCAAAAACAATAGTGAATCTTTCCACCTACCCATGAGGTAATTATCAACGCAAAATGATAGAAAGTGAAAAACATGTACAAAATTGTTCTTTTCTTTTGTCCTGTTCTGACTATTGATAAACGTTGCAATGAAAGGGAGAGATAATATTTCGATCGCATTGCAATGTTTATCAACAGTCAGAACAGAATGAAAGAAAAGAAAAAGAACAATTTTGTACATATTTTTGCACTTTCTATCATTTTGTGTTGATAATTACCTTGTGTATAGGTGAAAAGGTTCACTATTGTTTTTTTTATAAAACTAAATAAAATGATTGACGAATTAGTATACTTTACCATTTGTTTATTTTCTTATATCTCATCGAATAATTAATATAAATAAAGGAAAACTAACTCTAACTGTACCAGATGAAAAGATGACTATTACTATTAAGGTCGAATAAAATTAGAACAAACACTAACTCTATGTCTATTAGGTGGAAAACATGACTATGTCTATTAAGATGGAATAAAACTAAATGGACAATACAATACAAATTGTGGGAAAAGCTTGTTAAGTTCATCAAAGAGAAGAATTGTTGTATACTCGTTTGCCGAACGATTCTGAATTTTTCTAGAATCCTTCTTATTGTTGCACCTTGCTTGTGTCTATTTTTATTGTTTTTGCCAGTGTATTGTACATAAGACTGCCACGATATCGACAGCTAAAAGCTCAACGTTGAACACAGATGTTGATAAAAGAACTAAGAGTTACGATAAGAATTTTTTATGAAGAAAACAATGATGAAAACATTTAATATATTTGAGAACACTGACGAATCCATTTGGAGCTAATCAATATTCTTTCTCAATATAATGGGATAATTTTATGTAGGTAATGAAACGGACGAGAAGGCATTCTGTATTTTTAAAACTGATTTTTGAATTCACGAGAAAACATTTGGCAGTTAGGAGAACGATAGAGAACGCGTTCATCACTTCGAAGAATCCATTCTCAAGTATTTCTTGAGAGAAAGTCAAAGAAAGCATTCTCATTTTTATGGAATCCGTTCCTGACCCTTCCAAAAATGAACGGTTCACAAAGCTTTCCCTTCAGATACATAACTTATTCTTGTCGCTCATGAACGCATTCGCCATACTATAGAATGTGTTCTTCATGGGAAAGGTAACTTTCCATGTTTTGCTGAATGCGTTTACTTCTGTTTTTTTCCATGATTATTTTTCACCCGGTGAATTATTAACAAAATAAATAGCACAAATATCACGGCAAAAAATTCGCCAATCAATGATAGTATGTGGTGAGTTAATTTTCAATTCATGCTGTAATTGTTTCATTGAATCTTCTTCTCTTGACTAATAATACATTAGCCCAAATATTTGTCTTAATGATAATTTTGAATTTTCAAAAAATAACCTATAAATTGAAAATAATACAGTATTCGCCATAAGTGGGCGCGACCGAAAAAACGAGGAAGACAAAGGAGTTATTTTATCATATTTTATTTACAAAATCTACACTACACGTACATCATCCTAATAATTAATATAGTCGCCTTTTCTTTCAATTAACAACTGTACTCTTTTTTCCATGGAATCGACTAATTTTTCAGCAAATTCGACAGGTAGATTTTTCCATTCTTTTTTTATTCTGCCAAAGAAATTATTGATTGACGTGGGTGGTTGTCTGTTTATTTTGAGCTTCATTAAAGCCCAAACATTTTCGATTGGGTTGCAGTCGGGAGATTGTGATGGCCACGGTAATGATTGTATGTCATTATTGACCTTGAACGTTTTACTCATTTTTGAGGTATGCTTTGGGTCATTATCTTCCAAAAGTTTCCAGTTATAGTGATTATCACCAAACCATTTTTTTGCTGATGGCAGAAGACCATTCTTGTAAATTTTACACATAAAATTTGAATTTAATGTTTTTCTAAATAATACCAGTTTTCCGAATCCATGTTTGCTAAAACAACCCCATACGTGAACTTTGACAGGATGCTTCACTGTTGATACATAATATTCTTCGCCACGTTTTTTCCATACATGTCTTATAACTTGTTTCATATGAAATGAACTTTCATCTGTAAATATAACTTGATTCCAGTCAATATCTTGGTGTTGTATTGCCCATTGAAGTCTTTTCTTAATATGGTCACCTGTTAGCAATGGCTTGGAAGTTGGTTTCATTGATTGCAGACCAGCTTCTTTAAATCTTCTTCTTAATGTTGTTTCACTAATTTTTATACCTTTCTTTGATAATCTGAATGCAATTTGACGTGCAGATTCGGTTGGGTGTTGAGCTACCATCGATTGAATTATATCATCTTGTTTTTCTGTTGTAGACCGTTTACGACCAGATTTTTGTATAATTTCTATATCACCAGTTGTTTCGTATCTTTCAAGCCAATATCTTACAGTTGTCTCACTGATTCGTAAATATTGTGAAATATCAGCATTTGACATATGGGGACCATGTTCATGTCTCGATAAAAAGATGATTTCCCATCTTTTCTTTACAGAAATGTCCATTTTTTGATTAACTTATAAAACGAGTACAGAATGAGTATGAATGCTCTTATTTATATCGGATGATGAGCGTGACTAGTCCGTTCATACAAAGTAAAAAAATAAAATAAAAGTCATTGTTGAACAAGAAAAAAAGGTCGCGCCCACTTATGGCGATTACTGTAACTTTATTGACATTCTTTTTTTTTAAGAAACATACCTTCATCTCCTTTGTTTCGAGTACAACCAAGATACCAAGCATTACATTTTTCTTTACAAGATTGATCATTACTTGATTTTGTTGGTAAAAGTTTTAAATGCTGGAGGATTTGTATAGTATCGAACTGTGTTATTGTGAATTCATGAAATTCACGAAGATTCATTACATCAATTTCGTCAATACCTATTAACATAGTCATAATAAATTAAATAAGTGAATAAATAATAAATGAAATAATAATTAAAGCGTTTGAATTGAATATTGTTTGGCAAATGTTTGTAATGAATGTACAGTAAAATCTTACCTTATATAGTCTCCTCAAGCAAGATCCCACAGAAATTATCGAATTATTAATAGAAGCTCTATTTATTTTTTCAGTTATTAGAAATATTGTCTTATATATTAGCACCAGATAGTTTCACGTTTTCTCCCCATTTCTTTAGATCAAACAGTTCTATTTAGCTATGCAGCCTTCATATTAATTAATAGCTCGATATTGTCTTCCTTTGAAATTAATTACATTCTTCATAATTATATCATATTGACATATTCCCATTTGTTCATATATAACGTCTTTTCTAAATGTGTCCTCTCTTTAATTAGCGGTACACGTGTTAGCCAATACATTGTTTTCCTTTCTTTCTTTCTTTCTTTATGTATATGTATATTGAGGGTACGCTTCTTCTGCACACGTATTCACGCAGAGTCATAAATACAAAACTTGTATTGTCAGCTTAGTTTAAAAAGAAAAGAAATAATTCAGTGTTAAATATAGTTTTACGACATGAATAATGAATGTTATAGCACGTTTCGTTCTCAAATATATGAGCAATATGTACAATTGATAAATAATATTCAATATTCCTTTGAATTATTTCAAATGAGTGTTGCTAGTAAAAACAATGTGGAAACCTCAGATTTAAATCCGAGAGTTATGTGTACTTCAAAAAGTGAATGAGACTGATTAGTCATCTTAGAATGTGTGGGCATAAAAATTATCCTGGCAAACCTTTTCTATAAACAGTCGATTTCTATTGGCTACTGCTCAACCACTAGGATTTAGAGATGGATAGAGCTCAGATTTGAACTCTTCGTCTTGATTTACCCTAAGAAAGTCGTTTTTCCGATAACTTAATTTCTATTGGTTACTGCTCAACCAATAGGAGTTCGAGGCAAACGGAGCTCAGATTGGAGTTCTCCGACCCAAAAAACCTCGAACTGTCATCTCCATGATCGAAAGACAGAGCTCTAATTGTCGATCAATTAGAGTGTGAACACAAACAGAACCAATTCCCGTTTAATTACCCTTGCAATAGGTGAGTTAGTCTTCTTATTTCTTTATGTTTTATATACCATTTTGTAGCTCGTGAAATTTTCTATCGAATGGTGTATAATAGTTGGGGTTTGATTTGACTATAATAGGAAAACTTTTTTACGAAAGCAGGGATAGGTCGATTCTCGCATAGGAAGGCGTAGGGAAAAATGACTATTTTTGCAATAACTCAGCAACGGCTCGGCCAATCCTTCTCATCTTCGAACTCGACCGAGATATTGTTGAGACTAAAGTGTGTAGAAAATTTCATCGCAATCGAACTCTCCTTTCAAAAGTTATCGTGTAAACGGCCGAATGGACATACGGACCGATTCTAGAGTGTACTCACTTTTTGAGTACACAAAAAAAAGAAAAAAAAGCAAGTTTATGACAAATCTAATACAAAATTGTAAATGTTTATTTTTCTTGATTCAGACGGCTGCCTAAGTAGAACAAGAAAATAAATTATTTGATCTAGGTTAAATTAAGCGATACGCAAGAAAGAAATCGATAGAGCTATAAAGAGAATAATCAATCATTTATAGTCAAGTTAAAGACAAGGTATCTATTGAGTTCTTCGCAAACACATTTTTCTGACTTGAAAATTTCATAAAAACACTTTTCAATAGAGAAAATCCTTGGATGCAAACAACACTTTTGTAATGATGAACTGGCAAAAATCCGGTCGAGTTCCAACTCTGACGCGATACATTAGTGTTGCCTAACTTTGTAACGCAAAATGATCTTCAAAGCTCTGGTACAGATCGTCATCTCTAGATTGTCTAAAAAAAAAGAACTTTTCTGAGAATCTCCTTTATCCTATGCAATCAATAAACATTTCCTATAACGAGTTTCAAAATATATCTTCTACAGATATAAAACTCTGCAGATAAGTTATGGATATAATTCTGAGTACAATTATGTTTTCCAAAAGGTACATAGATGTTTTTTTCGAGTCCCTAAATATTGTAGGATCAAAATCTTACGAGATTATGGATGAGTAATTTCTAATTTACAATAAAGTGCCATTCTTTCACTAAAATGGTCAGCAAATCTGAACGACGTGCGTTACTTGTATTTATCAGTAATTGAAAGATTTTATTTCGTAAAAGTTTTTATACATTATTCATTCATCTGTCCTTGTTCAGCATTTCTTTTGAAAAATAATACGTATGAGTGACATGATATAACATTAAACTATGCATATTTAGCTGGAGCTCCACAAATTTCACATTCGATTGTCATTGTCATTAACTTTGACTTAATAGCCATAGAATTAATAAATAATTATTTTTCCACCATAAACACTCGGATTTACTTGATTAAATTAAATTCTATTATTCTTGATGAAAATTATGATTTTGATCGTAGTTCTATATTTATTTTATAAATATGCCCAATGAATCTCGAGATAGATGAAACGTGAGGCGGATACGAACCTTATGATGGTTAATGTGAAAAGGATATTGTTACACTACACGGAAGAAAAAAATAATGACGTAAATCGAGTAACTCTCTCTGTATATATAGACGTAGGCTTGTTTTTTTCTTTAATCATCCTTATTCATTCTCTCAATGAGGTAAGTTTAATGTAGGATGAATTTTTTTTTTAGAAAATTAACATCGAATAATAGAGTAAGTCTATCTATGTCGGTCAAAACTAAAAAATCTAAAATATTCCCACATGAATGTGAAATATGTGGTGCTCCTGCTGAATATTCTTTTTTTGGTGTTATTTCATGTTATCCATGCAAAATGTTCTTTAAACGAAATGCCAATGTTGGACAGGTCAGATTGATCTTTTCTTCTCATTTAAATTCTCATGTTAATTTATTTAGGCAGCATTCATATGTAATTTTGATGGTCAATGTAAAATCAATAGATATAATCGTCATATATGCCCAGCATGTCGACTTGCTACATGTTTTAAATGTGGAATGAGTACTGGCAAATTCCGAGAATCAAGAAAGATTAAACCAAAAAGAAACATATTAGTTAAGGTACAAGTACAAAATCAACCAGAGAAAGTAAGATTATTAAATTAAATCGATTGAAATAAATTTACTAAGGAGAAAATCTATTTTTATTCTTTCGGTGTCAATCTGATCATTAAGCTTCTTCCCTTTCATAAAATCCATTTTTTTCGAAAAAACATCGAAGTTGAATTTTCTGTCATAGGAAGATACAACAACGGTTTCTCTGTCAGAATATATATGAATTTTTGAAAAAAAGACCAAATTTTAGCAGACTTTTGGAAGATATTTTAAGCCTATTATCCAGTTTTTCGAAAACTTTTGATGTGTTTTTTCCTTAATTTGAATGGAAAAATCCGTATCGAAACTTATTTACCGTTTTTCCTAGAACATTATTTTTAATCAGAAAAATTGAAATAACTTTCACCTGGTTAAAGATATAATCAATAATTTTCTTTTGTTTTAGTCTGACCAGATTTTTCATAGTTAATTTTTGTGTTGAGAAACGCGAGACTTAGTGTCATGAAGTAATATTTTCTTTTTGCTTATTTTAACACGGTACGTACCAAAATGATCATAAAAAAATCGATCGAAGCGAATTTTAATTTGAAACTACCCTGAACTCTGTACTTTTTGTAGTGACAAAGTTATAAAAATTTTCCTAGAGGCCATAAATGGACTATAAATAAGCCATACATTCACTCTAGTTTAATGTATCAGGCTAAAATTTATTATCACAAGTGTTTCTTATTAGGACAATTCATTCCTGAAAATTTCAGCTTCAATGCACCATCCTAAAGGGTTTTCGACTAAACTACTTATTATATTAGCTCCATATCTCATTAAAGAGTAGGTCATAAAATTGTTACGACTAATTGTTTTACAAATCTTTAGGACAGACCAAAAATAATGATTAGAACACTTTTATAGAGTATAGTAAGTTTTATGAAACTTTCTGTTTATATGCAGGAATTGTACAAAGAATACTCTAGTTTTCTATGGTATATTATCATGCTTCAACTAATATCATAATGATAAAATTTCGATACGAACTGTTTTCCTACGATATTGTAACAATTATACTAATGCCTACTTAAAAATAAAAACAAGTGAATGTTTTTTAATATCTTTTGAATAGAAATAAGATAGATAACTACGATTTTCATCATTTGAAAGAAAAGATAAAGATGCATCGAATCATACATTATAGACATTTTTGAATTGATTCTCTAAAAGTTTTCAAGTGACTTCTTTGAAAACAAACATAGTCCGTACACATGTTTAGAATAAATCATTCAAAAGTTTTTCGACACTTAGAAAATTGATTAAACAAAAATTCAGATAACATAATGAGAAAATCCTATAATGTACGCTTTGATACATCATTATCTTCTCTTTCAAATGATGAAAATCGAAACTATCTATCTTATTTCCATTAAAATTTATTAAAAAACTATCCACTCGCTTTCTTTTTTTGTCATAAGCATTAATATAAATCATAGAAAAATAGAGTATTGTTTTTACTATTTTTGCATATAAAAAAAACAAATTTTCTAAAGCTTACTAAACGATATTAAAGCGTTACTGCCACTATTTTTGAACTACCGTCAGTATAACATATTTTTTTGTTATTTATTAGCTCCCAACATTAAATCTTTTACAATCAGATCAATCATTATTAACTACTAATCAATGGACACTTCTCACAAATTTATTTCATTGTTATAAAGAATCTCGGATTTTACCATTTAGTCAACGTTTAATAGATATATACGATGCTTCACAATCGAATTATGTGATTTACAAAGAACTTGTAGAAGAATTCTTAGTATCTCTTTACGAAACAGCAGGAACATACCTTCGTTCCAATGATGATCTTCGTAAATTATCATCGGATGATCGTTCCATAATACTTCGTAAAGCTGCTGACAATGTGTGCTGCATGAGTGGTACATTCATTATGCAATATTCTTATTTATATAATCTCGATGCTTTCTTAAACACTATGAGCATAAAGTATGGAAAACGTACAATGAATATTCATGTTTGGGCAAGAAAGTTTATTGATCCCGATATTGTATTGGCCAAATTGTCACTTTCATTGTTTGCTTTCTCTGAAAATACTTGTTGTTATTATTCAAATATATCGAACGATTTAACAAATCCTATTAATATTTTAGAGATTCAAAATAAGTATGCAGAAGTAACATGGAAATATCTTCTCTATAAATATGGTCATTATGACGCTGTAAAACGATATCTTAATATAATACTTTGGCTTATTTCTATGAGTATTTTAACATTTCATGCTCAAACTCTGAAAGTACACATGAATGATCTTTATTCACTTATTGAACAAACTGAACTGACACTTATATTAGATGATGTTGATCAAATAATTGAAACAAATCAGTATGATTAGAATTTGTATTAAAAAAAAACAATAAAGACATCTACAAATCGCTTAAAAAATGATCTAAATGTATATATATATACATATTGGAAATAAAAGGGTGTGGGTATAGATGTGTGGATCAAAAGATAATCGTCCACGCCAACACCCACACTCTGTGGATGTGGATGTAATTGTAGTTCTGGAACTTCTCTAAATTCACACCCACACTCACACCCTTCGAATAAAATCAAGATAAAACATAACTGAATAGAGAGAAAATGATAAACAAAGTTTTTGTTTTTACCATGAACAATAGAACGGAGAGAAAATCGACAAAAAGATAGGAGTTGAAGAAAAAAAAAAGAAATGGAAGAATACACAGCAACAACGGAAGTTGCCGATAGAATATTTTATTTTGAACATTGATCATTGATTTTATGAATCTTGTCAACCAAAATTTTGAATAAACTTATTTAGTGCTAATAAGTCAAATTTGTTTACTGTTGGTTTTTGTGTGACAAGAGCAGTTTCCATATCCTTCTAAAAATATTATTTATCTCAATTTTAAATTTAATTGACGAATGTTTGTAATAGCTAACCATGGTCACTGGTGATTCGTATAATTCATCAAATTTTATTTTATCCAATGTAAGCTTTTGAGCAGCTGGATCTTCAGGTGAACAAACAATCCAAAGTTGCCGAGGACCATAATCGTTTGGATTTTGCACCTATGTTAAAATCATCAAATGAATAAATAAGCAAGATCAATCGAAGAAAATCTACTCTTTTGAAATGAGTTGCTGAATCTAGTCGTCGAATGAATATTAGTAAAGCTTCTTGACAAACAGCATCGATATCAGCACCAGAATAGCTAAAATGAAACATTATTATCTTCTATTTCATAAAAATACAAAACTTGCTGTTCAGCTTTTTGTGCTAATTGCATCCATTGATGATTTTGTATTGTATGATAATTATTAACACTCAAATGTGTTTTAAACATTGCTGCTCTTTCATTTACATCAGGTAATGGAGTATAGATTCGTTTTTCAAAACTAGAATAATTTCAAAAAATAAATATATAACATATTTTCTACGTGAAGTATACCTTCGTAGAATAGCTCTATCCAATACCCACGGTATATTGGTCGCAGCAAGTACAAGAACACCTGAATTATCTGCTCCAACACCTAATATCACATCACAACATAAGATTTATTCATTCTTATGAGTACACACAGAAAATATACTTCGTAGTTGAACAAGAAATTCAGTTTTGACACGTCGTGATGATTCAGATTCTATATCATTATATTGTCCACATAATGCATCAATATGATCAATAAATATGATACATGGTTTTTGTTCACGAGCAAGTTCAAATAAATTTTTCACATTTCTTTCACTTTCACCGAACCACTTCGACAGAAGATCCGATGAATTCACCGAAATAAATGTATTCTCACATTCAGTGGCAATAGCTTTAGCTAAATATGATTTACCAGTACCAGAAGGCTTAAATAAAAACTATAAAATGCAGTTTAATCAAAAAGCTCAAAACTCACTCCATAGAGTAAAATACTAGTCCATGGCTTACGTGTACCTAGAAAAGAATGAAGAACAATAGAATAGCGTATAATTTACAAAGTAAATACCTTGAAAGAGGTGTGGAAATTTAACTGGTAAAATTATAGCCTCTTTCAATATTTCTTTAGCTTGTTTTAATCCGATGACATCATCAAATGTTACTTTCAGATCAGTAAAAATAGCCTCTAGAGTAAAAGAGGAACAGTTATATTTATATTAGAAAGATAGATTTAGTGGAACTAACTTTCAAATTTTTGCATCATATGTTTTCTATTGTTGTCACCATTATCATCATTTTCTTTATTATGTTTCACATTTCTACGCTCATTACTAGTATCAGCAACAGGTACCTTTTTAGCTAGACCATTCTTCAAAATCTCTTCAATTTCTTCCGCTCGTTTTATATAACTTTCTATTTTTGGTCGTATCGTTTGTTTCATTTGGGTATTCATGTTACCATCTAAAATTCAAACATGATCTCAACGAAAATTACCATTATTTACTAACATTTCATTGCCTGCTTAAGCCAATCTGCTGCGGTCAAGTAATGTTGTGTAGCGACTTTGTAATTATGCGCATTATCTTCAAATACGGCTTGTTCGGCACTTTGAATTGCTTTCTAAAAGAGAAACAATACATTTTAGAAAAATTATTTTTAGAATCATTACCTGAATACAATCATTTTGGCTACTGCTCATCGCTTTAACTATGAAAAAGGACAAGACAATTTAACTATATGAAAAATACTAAACAAGTCATGTGGGCTATGTTAGGTTCAGAGTCGAGCTTTTTAGGGCTAAGTCGTCCAGGAAAATGTTTCAATTTGACTTTCATATGTTCCAAGTGCAACTTGATGGGCTTTATCGAATGGTTAAAACATGATCTTGATTATATGCTCCATTGTCAAGATACTGTCACTTTACCGGCCAAATTTGCCCCTTTCTACAGTATTTCCTGGATCGATTGGGTATGGATGTAAGTCAAGCGTGACCTCGGACTACACCCACACCTTACCGTTCCTCACTTCAAGCAGAGATGGATGTCACTGACAGCAACAAGAGAAATGGAGGCTTTTTTCAGAGTGAGATTGTAAGTGTCACAGAAAGGCATGAGAATGAAGATTACCGAGTGTGTAATTGTTTATTGTGGAGATATCGGATTTTCTCTTCATCCTCAATCTCAATCTTACCCACATTCTTAAAGTACCATTGTCACTACTTTTAGGTTGATCTCAGTGAATACCTGTACAAACCCATCTAATTTTCTGTGAGAAACGATAAGACCAAATATTCTATCTTTTTAGAATCGTTCGATTGCGATCTTTAAAATACTCATGAATATTTTCTTAAATTTAGTTTACTTGTGCAGAAGACTGAAATTTCTCTGATTACATCAGTGATAGCTGGCAAACTTGTTAAAATTTCGGTCGCACATAATAGTTTTCATCATTATCATTCAATAGCAGACCAAATGCAATCACGTATTCTGGATCAACACAAAAAACCTATATCTATTGATAGATGTATATTTCAACAAAAAGACACATTGTGGTGTTTTCACGAATGAATTTTCTAGGCATTGCCTGTAAACCATTAAGAGTGCATTTATCGTGAAAAGTTTTTAAAGTTATAAGATATTTGAGCTGACGCAGTTTTTTTGTGTTGATTCAGGATATGCTATTTATGCTGGTCTAAAATACAAGTATGGTAAAAAGAGCGGCAAAGTATCAAAGTATTTTTGAAAATTTTGTAGTTTTTTTATTGCAACAAAAAAAGGTTCCTCAATAAACAAAAATATTGAAAACATTAATACAGATTCATTTGAAGCACGCAATCTAGTGACTCTATTTTCAGAAGAACATGATTTTCATATCGTCACATAAAGGACTCGATAAATTTACAGAGATACTCATTGATATAGGCTCTGAGATTAAGACAGATCTTGGCAAACCTCTTAATGTGTTCCACTGTTTTTTCGAATAACTCGAGAACACAAGCAGCTAGGGATCTGCAGTTTTCACCAATCGAAAGAGGAGACCGGGGAACATCTTTTTCTTCAATAATGTATAAGAGAAAATCCTTTTAAAACTAATTATTTTCGACAGACCTATAAAAGAAAGCATGAAAATGACCTGTCATCTAGATGGAATTTTCATTTTGACCTTTGATTTAGATAGAAGAACCTCAAATCTACAGTTCAAGATACAATACAAATTGGTTCTCTTATTATATTCTAACGTTGAGCAAATTGAATCATGTATTTATATGCGCAAATAATAGGGATTTTTGCTAATTTTTTTTTACTAAGTTTACTCACTTTTTACCATAATAGTTTGACATTTCGATGGAAATGTAATGAAAAGTAAGAAATTACATTATATCCTGAACTATAGATTTGAAGTCTCTCTATCTAAATCAAAGGTCAAAATGAAAATTTCATCTAGATGGCAGGTCATTTTCATGCTTTCTTTTATATGTTTGTCAAAAATAATTAGTTTTAAAAAGATTTCCTTTTATACATTATTGAAGAAAAACACGTCCCTCGGTCTCCTCTCTCGATTGGTGAAAACCGCAGATCTCTACCTGCTTGCATTCTCGAGTTATTCAAATAACAGTAGAACACATTATATTTTGAAATGAACAATAGTTGGTTTTATCAAGAATTTCTATAAGTAATATATTATGGAAAAAATGTAACCAGATTACAGGATGGCTAAGGTATAGATTTATAGACTGATGATCACAATTTAATTCATAATTTAGGTTCTTCTACGAATTTTGTACTACTTGAACTTTTAGGTAGGCAACATTTGGAATTATCAACTTTTAAATCCCTCAACTGATTTCCATCCCTACCTATAGTCACACCTGGATAGAAATAAAAGAAGTCTTAACTCGTAAAAAAGAGATATAACTAACAGAAGAAGAATTCTATCAAGTGATTCATTTCAAGTTTAGTAAATGATACTGTGCAGCTGACATTGAACTGAATAGTGATTGATCTTTGCTGTCCTTAAATAAATAAATTAAGTAAACTTGATTATTATAATTCACTTGAAGAAAACCAGATATTATATAGAATACATAGAGCAGAGAGAAAGACTTTTGTTCAAGAAATCTGCATTGAACAGATTTTTTTATTCTTATTACTTTTCAATATAAACAAATAATAATTTTCTATTCAGTTTTCGATGCTAAATCACAATCGAACACTTTCAAATTGTTTAGAAAATAAGAATAAGAGACACTTGAAATGGCTTAGAGAAGGATGTGTGTGTGTGTAGATGTGCTGCATGATGCTATGCAGATTAGGGAGTGGAATGTGTTTGGATGGTGTTGGGGTGTCAGTGTGAGTGTGTGTCCAGTGAGTACGAGGATACCAATTAACTACACGCACTCACATTTTAATATACCTGAATAATCTGTTGGATGGGCAACTAATAAAGTTATTGTTTGACTTTCACTGCATGCAAGTCGAATTGATTCAACAGCATATTGTTGGTCAACATATGTTAAATCATAACTATTTTTCTATTTAGAAAAAAAAGAAAACATTTTAAATTAAAATTCAACGAATATTTCTTACTGATGATTGTACACGCATAACACGATCACCAATTTTAAATCGTCCATTTGTATTAGCAAATCCCCCAGGAGTGATATTTGTAATAAATATTCCGCAATCTCTACAAAGAAAAAAAAAGAAATTTTCTTTTGAACTTTTTAATAAAACAATAAATAACAAACCCTTTAACATGTTCACAATCAATGCCACCAGCAACAATCAAACCTAAATATGCATTTAGTGGTTTATCTACACAAATTTCGTTCAAAATAGGTGGTAATAATCGACGAATTAACTAAAAACATAGACGAGAGGTTGACATAATATTTCTAATAATAACAAAAAAACCTAATAGACTCACTAAATTAACATGATTACCAGCTGCTTTAAGTCTATCAACAGCTACTTGCTGTTCAATATTAGTAAAATCGATATTATTAACACGTAAAATAATATCGTAAAGTCTAAACATAAGAGAAATATGTATTTTTTTCTTTTGAAAACATAAAAATTTATGAATTCTACTTTAATTGTTGATCACGATCAGCAAGACCATTTTCAGTAATACGTGTAACAACAATAGCTCGAGAACCAGTTGTATGAGAAACATCAGTTCCACCAGCAATCAAGAATCCCCAATTAACACCAGGTGACTTATATAAAATTAAAAATTTAATAAAAATGTTTTTTTTTTGTTTTGATAATTTCTTTACTCGGTTAAGATGAATTTCAATTTCTTTCCAATGATTGTCATAATTAAATTGTGTTATATGAGTAGGCGAGTTTAATTCTGATGCATTCCAACGATTTTTCTGAATTCCATCATTTGTATCTGCTATTAGAGAAAGTGATAGTGACGTTTATTGTCGTTTACTATTTTCTTTGGTATTTTTGAATCGAAACATTGGATATACATGTGAGAGCGCTTGTGGGCCTTTATATGCTCTACGCCTACACTAGCACTAACGACCGACATCTACGCTCGATCTCCACGCCAACACTTACACCCATCCATATATTCATCGAAGGGTTAAGTATTTTGCCGCTATAAACACCCATAGCAGTTACCGGCAACTGTTTTCTCTCACGAATTTCTCTCTGATCTAAAATTTTCGTCGAGACTCAGAGATAATAAAAAGTAGCATGAAACTTCATCGTGCTCTGTTGACATAGAACAAAGTCTGAAATTTTTTGCTTGCTCTCTTCAAAAGGTCTCTATGTTTCCAAAATTTTCGCTGTCTCTCTAATATGTTGCTTAGCAGGCGGAAGTTTTTAGTCGCTACGTTCACATAATGACTGGTTTCTGAAAATTTTTGCTTTTTCTTCCACCAACTCAGCTGAGATAGAATACTATTCTACGTCATCCAAAGAGATGAGTCACTACGGCTGCACTTTTCTCAGGCATCTTAAACATTGATCGGTTTCCTGAAATTTTCGTCCTATGTTCAAAACATTCTTCTATGGTCAAGGAGCTTTTGCACTCACTTGGAAAGATTTTTCAAATGCTAGAAAACTTTGTCACTATCTAAACAGATGGTAGACCGATGAATATCTGTACCGTTGCTCTCTAGAATTCATGTGACGTGAAAGTTTTATAGGACTAATCAGACTCATTAATTGGTTCCATGAATCTTATTGCTGTTGTGCTAGCACATTCGTCTATTATTCTAAAGCTTTCGGTAGCACTCAATAAAATTTTATCAGTTCTCTGAAATGTTTTTCTGATCCTAAGATGAATTACTCCGTGTTCTCGAAGTTCTCGCTGTGATCACAAAACATTGCTTAGTGTCAGAGTGTCAACGTGAAAGTGGACATGGCTTTTCTCTTATCTGAACTCACACTCCACAGAATTAAAAAAATACACAAAATAATGTATTTTACACAATTACAAGAACACTCTTCTCAGAGGAAAATGATGACTGAAATAAAAGAAAATGACATTTCTGATCATGGAACGGATAAAAAGAGGCATGTTTTACAGAATAGATCATTCTTGATTTTTCAAATTTAAAGTGTTCGACTTTCAGAATAACCCTGTCATAAACAACATGAGATAATAATGATGTACTCTTTTTTTTTACTACCTAATTCTCTTGCAGACTCACGTGAAATGATTTTATTTGGACTTTCCCAAAGTACGAGTTCATTGTCTTTCGAGGGATTGTATGATGAACTTTTGAAAAGTTCATTCTACTCTCTACCCGATAAAGTGGCAAATATTCAGAATATTAAATATATCAATTGATTGATGCTACAAAAAGCAGAGCACGACACCCTACTTGTCTCCATACACTTTATCTTCGTAAAAGCTATCCTTGTCAGAACACATCTATATGTAAAAATAAAATTAATCGATTTTGATCATGTATTTCCAAAACAAAATGGTGTTTCACGATGTATTTTACATTAAAGTCTTTGACTAAAACTATTTTTCATAAAAAAAAAAAAGATAAATGTACTGACCTTGAACTTCGTAAACAATTTGGTTACTCGGATAAAAATATACTATGAAACTAATGTGATAATTTTCATTTTTTACGAAAATAACTTGAGAATTAAGATTTTTTCGAAATAATGAATTTCTTGGAATGAAAATAGTGCTAAAATAATGCAAGTAATGGAATACCAGGAGCTATACCTACATCCACTCTCAAAGCAGTAATGTCAGACTCGACAGTAAATAAACTGAGTATAATTTTTCTTTTTTATGTATGTTTATTTGTGTGTCACAAAAGTTTCTTCCCAAAAAGTTTTTTCGTATATCTTAGTTCAAAAGCACCTTTCGAGGCTATTATGTCTACGCGACGTACGAAAATTTTGCTTTTTTTTCTCTTACGTAGACAAACATTATATGGCGATTAGTTTTTAATTACTCAGGTTTCTTAAATGATTCTAATCTTTAAATTGTTCAGATCTTTGAAGATCATTTTGTAGACATTTATTTTAATCTTTTCATAATAAGAAATTTAATAATAGTAAGTCTTGTGACCGTAAAGCTCCTAAGATTAGTCCATCTCTTTTAGTCGAATGATGATTAGAGTTGCTGCTCAGTCAGAAGCAAACTGTCGTCGTTGCAAACAGTCTTTCTACATGTAGAAAAAAGCTAAGACTTTGTTTTTCTGTTAAAACTAATAGTTTAGAAGGATCCTTTTGAAGTTTGCTCGTATAAATACAAAACTCCGTCTATAAAAACTAATTGACAAAGTTAAATCGACTAGTAAATATATGCAAAAAAGCTTTGAAGAAGGGGATTTTAAGACATACTGTATATATGTATACCGTAATACTCACTCGTCATTGCTATTCTGTTATAAACATTAATTTTTGTTTTATTCAATGCACAGAACGAACAAATCTACAGCATTTTGTTTTCGATTATTTGTTTTTGTTGTTTTTCGTTCGCTCTCAATAAATTCATCGAATAAAAAAAATGCACATGAGTATGATGAAAATCAGTTGACACATAACGAAATAAAACCATTGAAGAGAAAATATTTTTTAAAGCGTAATAATGAGAAATAATTTGACGCAGGCGTGTTGTTAATAGGTTATTAATTCTATGAATGGCAGTCGCTAAACCTTTCGCTATGTGACTGTGGATGAAGACTACGGGATGGAAGAGCGAGAGAACTGCTTTTTTTCTTCCCTCAACACACAATTACTAAGCCAGATCCAAAGTCACGACCGATACTCACATCGTTGTGAACGAGCTTTAGATTACTACGTTAAAAAAAAAACATCTTCAAGGAAGATTAGAAAACTATACATAATTCATCTTGGGCTCTCAATTTATAATACTACATCAGTTTGGAATAAATTTTACAAAAGAAAAAGAACGAACAACTCGAGTTTTTTTTGCTGGTGACGTGCACATCAATCGATAGATCAACACGAATAGCAGCTTTTAAAGTGGCCGTTCTTTGACAAGGTGATTCAATAGAAAGAAACAAAAAAAAACAAAGAGCATTAATGTAGCGTATCAAAATTTTTTTGGCGCACTCTTGATACTCCTTATTTCTTGCTTCTTCATATCATTATACGTACTTTCTTTATGGGTGTGGGTGTGGGTGTGGGTGTGGGTGGGTGTGAATGGCAAGCTCAGCCACACCCACACGCACACCCACCCACACCCTCAAACTCATGCTTGTCCTAATATTAAGGGACTACTAGGCTATAAAAAATTTCAGAATTTCAGTCTGTTTGAACTTTAACAAAGATATTAAGTTTTTAATGAATTCTTTCGTTTAAAGCCCATATTTTTAGTAAAATTTGAATTTCTTGTTTTCATCTGAAACTTTTCACACAATAAGATCTCAATGAGATTAGCTTTAGTGCAAAAAACTTTTTGAAGGTTGTTATAACCTAGTAGTTTCCTAATATTGAGACACATACGGATTTAGAGACTTTCAATGATCTGAACAGCCTCCATCGAATCTACTCTATCGTCAAGAAAAAAGATAGCCGAATTGATGACAAGAGAATAGAAATATTGAGTTTAATGCCATATTACTATTTTCAGTGAAACCTGTATCCTACTATTCACTAGTTGTGTTGTTTTACGAAAATTTAAAAAATTAAAAAAAAACAAACGGTAAAAAATTTATAAAACTTTGGCAATGAGACAGATTTTTTTGAGCTACGATAAAGATGTATTGAAAATATTGAACAGAATCATTGTTAATGGAACGTCAAATAATAGCTTATCGATTTGTTACGGTATAGGAATTACAAAGCGTTTTTCTCTTCATATGTGCTACAACTAGTAGATATATGACAATTCTTCATAACACATAACTTCGAACTCAGACAGTTGGAGTCGATCACTAGATTTTGCTTAGTTTTTTGGTTATTGAAAACTTGTCAACATTAAGAGCGGAAGTACTTCTCGCTATTTGTACATCTATTGATGGGTGTGGCTGTGAGTGTGACCGAAGATGTACTTATATCCGACATTTCAACATAGAATTAGCTGTTGTTGTGTGTGAATGATAATAGAAGGTAATTCATTAGAAATTGTATGAATTATTACATATTCATTCGATTCATCTAGCAAATATGTTATTTCAATATGAGTTGGCCATGTAGACAACAAAGTATCTACTTCGAAATATGAATTGAAGAATGAGTAAATGTATTTTGGCAAGTGATGAAAGTAGAATGCAAATGAAGTTGTGTTCATTAACAAGATGCACATCCTCTGTACATAGGTTCAATACTAATCGTTTACAAAGATAGTATGTGTGCGTGTCTTCTTCTCTTTATCCACACTCATACCCTTAAACGGATAGAAAATGAGAAAATGCACTGTCTTACCAACTAATTTTGTCACATTTTTAGCAGAGTTTAGCAGATTGTCAGCTAAGAAACATGGTTGATTTTTTGTTAGATATATGGGCATTCGATGATGTGTTTTGTCGAATTGAAGACAATAAAAAAAAAGAAAACTAAACAATAGAGCAAAGCAACGGGAATGAGTCAAATCAAGAATAAATGCTATTCAATTGGATAAAACAGGAATGATTATGAAGCAGAAATGAAACGATCGATGAGATCGAAAGCCGCACGCGGTTGGTCGTAGGGAACCGAGTGACCGGCATTACGGATCCAGGCCACAAAGAAAGAATGTGCTCGTTTCAGATAACCAGCTACCTCTCGATCGTCTTCTTTCACTTTCCAAACGATGCGTTCAGCACCACGCAATTGATCGGCATAGTTCCATTCAAGTTTATCAAGCCAATTCATCGTTACTGATGAGGGAATAATGACATCAACTAATCCATTGTAAATCAATACTTTATAATTATTGTTGGCAATCACTGCTACTTTGCTTGCAATTGACTGCATGGCATCATCTTGAAGACCGATTTGTACTTTTTCACCATCATTATATGTCATATTTCCTACATGAATTTGACGACGATGTTCACTTGCTATCACCCAAGGAATGTAGTAGAATAGTTCCTCAGGAAAATCGGTGCGAAGATAATTGTCAGCATCAATCATACCGGTCTTGTTCAGATAGAAATTATCGAAAAGATCACCAAAAATAGCATAAGCTTGTCGATATTGACCTTGAAGAATGGCTTCACGTGCCAGTGCTGTCAGCAAATTGACATATTCTAGTTGTAATTGATCAATTAAACCCATTTGATACATTGGTGGTCCATAATCCCATTGATTGTAAGGATCAATCAAACCATCACCAATGGCCATTCCTTTTAGATTGATTTTCAATTTGGCTTGAGGATTTTCTGTATGAATTTTGTAGACAATGGCTGGTACATATTTGCCACCATAGGACTCACCAGTAGCATAAAAATCACACGAAGCATATTCGTAATAGATTTGAAAGAATTGAATGAGCATCGCGTAGAGATCGCGTGCTACTTCATCTTCAGTATGCACATAGCATTGATCGTCGGCAGTAAAACTAAAACCAGTGCCAACCGGTTGATCAATAAAGAGAAGATGATATTTGGAATTCCAAGTGATATTATTCGGATGAAGTTGTCCAGTTTTGTCCACTTGAATAGGACCATGTTCGGAGAAAAGACCGAAGAGAGATGATGTACCAGGTCCGCCTTGTAACCAAACAAGCAACGGTGAATCAATATGACCATTTTGAGCAGGAAAGAACCAAAAGAAGAGGCTACTGTTACATGTCTTATTGACAGTTAAATAGCCAGAATAGGATGGAGAAGAATAAGCTGGTTGCAAATGTGCTTGACTCAAGTTACGAGCTAGATCGATTTGACCGGTTTCTAAATAAGGTGTAAGAAAGAGCGGCTCGCCGGGATCGTCACCTGATTGAAGCGGAGTTCGAGGAATACTGGCAAGGCGACGACGAAGCAGATCGAAGGCTTCGACATGAATTGATGAATAAAACAGAAGGAGAACAAAACCAGACCGTAGATTTAGACAATGGAACATAATTTGTTAGTTGTCACACAAGGTGTGTTTGTGTGTATGCACGGATTCGTGTTGTGTCTCTTATCAAAAAGTGGTAGAAAAGAGAAAGAAAAATGTTTGTAATTATCATACTTACATAGGCGTTTGTCCTTTGACAAACGTGACCAGGTAAACTCTCAAGAATAGACCACGCATTGACGATAAGGTAAGTCAGAGCTGACAAATCGGTCAGCATGATTAGAATTCATATGAATAGACTCAGTGAACTGATCGGACAACAATGTTCAATAGAGATCGTCAGAGATCGATAGATGTTGATCTTTTTTCATGACAGGTAAATACCTTAAGTAGTATCAGGAACACGCGAAAAAATGCCCGACCGTATTAACAAAACCAATAAAGACTCAGATGTACCCACAGAAGCAATATTCAGACAGAGAGAAGAAAGGCGATTCGATTAATTATAGCGACGTAGTCACGAAGTGAGAAGTATCCAGGGTGTGCCAAAAATCATGATCACTTAAAAAATTTAGATATTGCTAATGTCAATCGGAGTCAAATCAAATATTTTTTTTTTATTTGATAAAGAAGAACAGTAAGTTTTTTTTCATACGAATGAAGTTCATAAATACTGCTCAAAGGGATTACCTTTAACTTTCATACAAAAATTTAGGGATATATCCATGGAGTCTCGCCGGAACTATTTGACGACCACATCCAGGTTCAGTGAAACTTCCAGGGTTGATAGAGCTTTTCGCGCTAATCATTTTGGTTATAAAATTTTTATATTTGGCTGCTATTTTTAGAGAGATATGAGTCAAATACGATTGATGCATTTTATGTATTTTCAACTATGACTATCCATTCGGATTTTAAAACCAATTACATATTTAGATTCCTCTTGAAAAATCGCACCAGAATTCTTAGGAATCTAAAAAATTTTCATGAATTTTTATACTGCCTACTGATTCGCAACGTAGCGAAACAGTCTACGAAAAAGTCATCAGAAAGTTGGAATGAACGAGACTGGTGGACTTGCCAGCTCGATAGAGCAAAACTTGCCCTACAATATGCACTAATCAGTTTTCTCCCCACCTATGGTTTTGGAATGAACGATTGTCAAAACTACTTCAGGTGACAATTTTTCATCGAATTTTGGCGAATATATCGTCGTAGATTGTTTCACTACATTGCAAATCAGTAGACAATATAAAAATTCATGAACATTTTTTAGATTCTTAAGGATTCTGGTGCAATTTTTCAAGAGGAATCTAAATATGTAATTGGTTTTAAAATTCGAATGGATAGTCATAGTTGAAAATACATAAAATGCATCAATCGTATTTGACTCATATCTCTCTAAAAATAGCAGCCAAATATAAAAATTTTATAACCAAAATGATTAGCGCGAAAAGCTCTATCAATCCTGGAAGTTTCACTGAATTTGGAATGTGGTCGTCGAATGGTTCCGGCGAGACTCCATGGATACATCTCTAAATTTTTGTATTAAAGTTAAAGGTAATCCTTTTGAGCAGTATTTATGAACTTCATTCGTATGAAAAAAAAACTTACTGTTCTTCTCTATCAAATAAAAAAAAAATATCTGATTTGACTCCGATTAACAATGGGAATATTTAAATTTTTTAAGTGATCATGATTTTGGGACACCCTGTCTAAAGATAATAAGGGTGTGGATGTGGACAAAGAGGTTTTTCTGTCCTCTTGATCCCACACCCTGTGGGTGTTGAATTTAGCATTGTCTTTAACTATACCGACATCCTTAAGTTTTGAATATGATTTATTCGAAAAACAAAAACTGATCTTCATCTATATATTATTTTTGTTCGTTCAAATCGATAAGAATATTGACAACTGGCTCGTCTTTATAATCTTTAAATGGACGTGATAAACCAGCATCTTTCTTCTTCCATACCCATTCTGCTGGATCAACTACTCTTGATTCTTTTCCATTCATTTTTTTAATATAGATATGACGTGTTGCTGGATGACATGTTTGTATAAATGCATATTGAAATCCTCGGGTATTTCGTGCATGATTACATACATGAGCACGTAATTGAGCAGCTAAATTATTACCTGCATGTGTAAATCGTGTTGCACCAGATAGAAGAAATAAAACTGTATTCGGTTTTAATTCTTGGTCGAAATCAACATGAACAAATTTATCGAGCATTTCTGTGAATAAATCTTTCGTTGGATAATTAGATATAGGATTAAAAGTCTCAAATCGACGTTTTTCATAATATGAAAACAGATCATTGGCTATGATTGCTGCGGCAACTTCATTTGTTGGTCGATGTCGTATAAGAAATGATAATTTTTCATCAAGTACATCGAGCATTAACGGGTAAGTTCGTTGAGCAAAAAATTCCTTAGCTGTTATCTGAATAAAAGCTGCCAAAGGATTGTATAAAGCAAATTCTTCCGCAAGTAATTTAGCGCATAAACGAGCATCTATTTCATTGTCGATTAAAGCAATTCCATACTCGTCGTTACTAGCCATAGTACACAAGTAAAAACAGAAGACATCGAATAGAGGCGTAAACACTTGTATTCATATATCTTATCGTTTTTTTCTCGTTCTACTGATGACTTCGCACGCTTGCACAAACGATTATTTACTGTTAAAGAAATATCGTTTGATAAAGTACTATTAAGCTGCTTTCTAACAGTATATATTTATTTGTGAACTTCGCCGATTCAATAAGATAACTTCGAACAATCGTTTCCAAAAAATAATTAAACTTTTTTCATCAGATTTTTCACTAAAAATAACATTAAAAAAATGTAAATTAATTTTTGTTTTTGTTTAACTTACACAACTGTTTAATCAAATGAATGTAAAAGTAAAATATTTATTTTTGTTACTCAAAATGGGCCTGTTCATTAAAGATTTGATTGTGGACCTGCATGAATAAAATACACATCCTTTTTGAAGATGATGCCTTTTCTCGTTTCACACTGATTATTACGTCTCTGTTTATAAGAAGTGTCAAAAAGTTTTAAAAAAAGCAATCATTGACTATCTTCTTATATTCGATCAGAAAGGCATCAAATATACAATACTTCATTCTTCAAAAGGATTTGTATGTCTATTATTAAAATTTATAATCGAAATCTTTGTAAGGGTGCTCGAGCCTCCTTTAAGCTTCCCATCTGGATGGGTCACTAGCTATTCTTATATAATCTGGACAGCAGCTCACACGCTTTTGCTTTATATTTATCAGATATAGAATGGAAACAAGTTCTATGATATATTTCTGTATCTTATGATTAATAAAAGCACGCTGTCTGCATAATGTTGAAGTTATGTTTTTATTCAGGTTCTTTGTATGAGATTTATACAGACAGCCGAAACTAGAATATGCAACGTTTAAATTACTACATTCAGAAAATCTAATAATAAAAATTTATCGTAGACAAGTTATGTCACGTAATGAAATGGGATTACTCAAATTCTCCAGTTGTTGTTACCGTCAGTTTCAAAAGAATTAGAAAGACGTCTTTTTGGAATCCAAATTAATGATTGCTTTAAATTTCGTCCGTACGATGAAATTTCACATTTAAGTTATTTCCAAGTGAATTAGAAGACAGTTAAGTGTTAAAATGAATCGTGTTAATTATGATGATAGCAAACAAATTAGAACTATTTCGTCAATATAATAGTCGCGTACTCTTGCGATTAAGTATGAAGATCTAATAGGGAAGAATACGACGAGAAACCTAAAACATTTTCTTTCGAATGTATTCTATCGTCTTGTCAGTTCAAAAATTACAGATATCAATACTATTTTTACTGGAATTATTAGCTTATTTCCATCGAAATAGTGAACTCCTATTCTCAAATATGCGTGTATAACAAAATAGGTTTTCTGATGAGAAGATTATTATAATTGAAAATATGATCTCGATAAGTAAATGATGATGCATTAAATGTTTTGCATAATATAGATATAACTGCCCATTTGATTGGTTTACATTACCACACGCGGTTAAATAATAAAGATTTAGCCATGAAGGGTGTGAATGTTGGTCCTTATCATACCTACACCTGTCCTCACATGATTTACAATATATTTTTATGACAACAACAGGTTTAAAAATCGACTATAACTATATTCTTCCCAAAGTATAATTCTTGTCTCTGTTCAGACTCTGTACATTTATTTTGCAAGGCTAATAATTAAATTAATGAAGTTTTTCTTCGAAATTATTACTTTGAAAATGACAAAATAATAGCACAATATGTATTAACGAAAGATGTCATTATTCTACTAAAAACATCAATAACACACCACTTCCGATAAACACTCGTTGTCGGTCGAGCACGTGCATACGCACAATATTTTCTCTCAACTCCATGTGTTTTTTTTCTTTTCTCCACGACCGTCAACGAAAAAGCTAGATGTGATGTTTTTGTTTCTTTTTTTTGTCGTTTGCACACATCACTTCAATGTTTTCTACCACTACCATCGCGCTTGTGATAATATTTCTTGTGACTATTTATTGGTATTTGAAATCTAAGCACAGAAATTGTACTAAAAAGTTGCCTGGACCTAAACCAGAATGGATATTTGGGAATTTACGTAACACAGGTATTCTCCTTGGTCGAGTGACAATGCACGAAGCCATAGCTGAACTAAAAGCCAAATATGGCGATACATTTTCCTTCTGGTTGGGACCTTATTATACAATAATTCTCTCACGTATTGAGCATGTACAACATGTCTTAGCGGACAGGCATACCTATGATATAGCGGAGCCTACGACTCGCAACTTTGGTGTTCTTTTTCCAACGGGCCTGATCGCCTTACGAGGTAGTGACTGGAAGCGTCATGCACGATTTATGTTGCCAATGCTCAAACGAGCTAAGGTTTTACCGTTTCTCGACGCCATTATCAGGTGTACAGATCGTTTCATCAACGAGAAATTGGCCAAACGAAATGGAGAGATTCATATAGATCTAGTCGAACAATCTCAGAAATTTTTGCTTAACGTAATTGGATTAATTGCTTTTGATTATGATCTTGAGGCGTCATCTTCACCCGGCAATTTTGATCTCGGAGATGCTTTCAATGATTTCGTCCGCATTGCACATCAATTCATTCTAGTAAGTGGAATTCCGTTGTGGATCGGCAAATTGATTTTAAGAATGAATTGGAAATATCAGCGAGCATTACGTACTATGAAACACTATGTGATGAATATGATCATCAAGGAACAAACGCGACAGCAACAAGTAGTCTCGTCGAACAAGCCAAGAAATCTAGTTGCTTCTCTCGTAGCAGCGATCAAAATCGAGTCATCAGCAGAAGATATTTCGTTAAGTCCGAGCGAAGTATTCGATGAGACGTCTCTATCAATATTGGCTGGTTTTGAGACGATCTCAACTGCGCTCTCTTGGTTCATCTTTTACATGTCGAAGTATCCGGACATCCAGAAAAAGATCAAAGACGAGCTCAAAGACCACAATCTTACACCTAATGTACCACTCACACAAGATGTACTCGATTCTCTGATCTATGTCGAGTGTGTAATGAGGGAAGTTCTTCGTTTTGCGCCGATTACCGCGGCTATTTCACGTCAAGCTACCCGCGACGACATTATAGATGGTATTCAGGTGAAAAAGGGCGATATAGTTATGCTTGCTGCCCAATGTTTACACCGAGATCCTCGCTACTGGAAAATTGATCCATCGCAGTTTATACCGGAACGCTTTCTTCACGAAGACAAATATCCACCTCATGGTGCTTTCATGACATTTGGTGGAGGTCACCGTGCATGTGCAGGTCAAGATTTAGCGTTACTCGAGTTCAAGACAATTATTACACGATTGATGCAGCATGTGACATTCGTTGGTCCAGGAAAGAAAGCAGATAACTCAGGTGGAATGATTCAACGTATCACATGCTACCCAAAACACTTGGCTGTACGTGTTTGTCTCGATCAAAGTCAGACAATGGTCTGAACGAACAATCATATTATCTTTTCGTCAAATTTCTATTTTATTGATACTGGGAAATACCAAAAAGAATAAATATGACATTTTCATACTTTAAAAATGTGTCTGTGTAGGTGTGGGGTAAAATGAGGATGTGAGTGGCTGCATGTGGTTGTGGGTGGGTGTGAGTTATCTTTTCATAATATTGGCACCCATACCGACACGGGTAACACACACGCCTAACTTTCACCCCTGCACATACGCACATTCACACGAACACCAACACCGTTGCAATAGAGTTTCTATCAATATTCGAAGCAAACGAAAGCAAACCTTATTTTCTATTGTATTGAACGTCTGCTCATCATATGCATGACATGTATCAGATAAAATTAATAGAAATATTGCTATAGATGTTACTGAACTCATATGGCTCTGAACAATGTTCTTACGAAAGCAGTTATGCGAGTTAATCTATTTTCAAAATAGCATTTTTTTTTCAAAAAATAATGTGAAGAAAATGTGAACAAATGATTCCGATTAATTTTGAATCAAGTTAGTAGTAAAATAGTGATTTGGATGTGGGTGTGGGTGTTTACGTGTGGATAGGGGCGGAAGTGAGTGTCGATCAAAAGGAAATTCACCCACACTTACACCCGCAGCTTTAAGAACTGTAGTTGTGTCAGGCAATTTGTCTTAACTCTTTGTCTTTCGTATAAATGTTAAAAAATCAGTAGTCTATTGCAGGAGGGTGTGAATAGACGTGTGGGGTTTTCACTTCAGCTACACTGCACCCATACTCACGCTCATACCAACGCACACCCTTAGTCATCGTCATTATAAAATATTAAGATTGTATTTTATTGTGTTGTATAACTGCATAACTGTTTCATTAAACTATTTCGCACGATAATTGAAACACATTTGTCAAACAAAGTTGGAGTAATAAAATTTCCGAAATATGAATGTCAAAGCTTGAAAAGTTTGTGAGCCATCTCTTTTAATACATACGCCTATAATGCTGATCGATTTATTTCTTCTTGTGTCTCATCCATATTCTCAAAATCGATCCCTATGTAGTAAAAAAAAAATGAATGTTGGACTAGAAAAAAGTGAGAGCATATTTTTGCACGACGAAGTTTTTTTTTGTTACTGGTAAACGTTATTAAGAAATAAACGTGTTACAAAAATGACAGAAAGAAGGAGAAAAATACAAGAATATTTTGTTCAAAAACAAATTTTGCAATAACCTACACATCATTTGTATTCGTAGCACTACCTTTCGTTCAACAAATTGAAAATCTACATTTATACACATAATCGTTCATTCAAAATAACATTTGGCCTATTCGGCAAGCAAAAATCTCCGGAACGAAACATAATCACTTATCCATCTTCAAATCCTATCGAACATTCTATACGATTGCTATGTCATTCATTGAACTTAGATGAAATATTTCAAAGTCAACAAACGATAAAAGCCAAGAAAAATTCAGTAGAAGCTGAGCCGGTAAATATAGTTAATAGGATATAAATTATCATTTCAACGAGTAGACATATAATAGAATATTTTCTATTACTATCGACAATCACATTTGCCACAAAAAAAACTCATGATTATCTATTAACACTGTTGTTTCACTAAGATCCTCAACTGCGAAAGTTCGCTGCTCAATGCATTGCGTACAAGTCTACTTTTCTCGAACGCGTTGAATATGACAGAAATCGAAATCTCTATTGGCCTATCTGTGGACCATTTACCATGAGATTCGAATACCTTAGATTCAATCAAAACATCGCTGAGTTCTGGTTTCGATATGTTTGACAAGCAACTCAATTCTATAGAAATGAAAGTGTTAGTTTGAATATAATCAACTCGTTTTTAACTCTTCTCATTGTATTTGCAGTTGATCAGACGATATTACTATCAACAGACGCAAACTCAAACGACTCCGAATGAGGGTGTGGGTGCGAACTATTTGTATCAGTCTCCTTTTCATTCACATCAGTATCTTCTACAACACGGCGTATATACGAATAAACTGCGTAGATATAAAGAATAGGCTCTTTCTCAAAAAAAAAAATTTGAAAACTGAACATCCTTGAAGATGGGAGTTAACCGAAACCAGACATTCCTTGACATGAGAGAAGTTCAAAAACTGTAATTTTTACCTCAATTGGTGACCCCTATTACAATTTATCTTTTCGTTTGCTCTTCTGAAAAGAACCAATAAAAGTAGAACAAGAAATTTGCGTATTTATATTTATTTTTCTTCCACGTTGTTTTGTTGTCGTGATGTAAGTGTTTGATAGTAACAGAAAAGAATGAAAGAAACAAAATGCAAAATTCTTAATTGTAAGCCACAAGAAGTACATCTTTTCTAGTAAATTATTTTAATTTTCGTTGATTTTAATAGCTAATGCAACGGAGTAGAAGATCTGATGATATAATTATTTTATTATTAGGACAAACAGATATTGGTAAGAATACACTTATATATAAATGCATTTGTAAATTATCTTTTTTTTTTTATAATAATCTAGATAGCGCTATGAATGGTTCTATGGAAGCACTCATATTAGCTTTGGTTTTTTTTCTATAGATCAAGACACATTTGAAATAACAAATATAACTATTGTTGAAAATAATGATCGAAAAAAAATATATTGACATTGGTGAGTCACGTACATAACTACGTCAAACTATTAATCATCGATATTTACTTTTAATCGATACATTAGGGATTAGTAATACATATAGACTAGAACGAAGTGCAAAAAAATTTCGAAGATATTATTGTTAATATTGATCTATATGACCATGTTAATGGTATGTGTTTTCGATTTAAATCAAATTAACAATGTCTATCAATTATATTTCATTTTCATATTACACCATTACTTTGTCATCTAAATATTAGTACTTTCGAAAATTGTATGCTTATTTTTCACAAATGTCCAATCAAGTTTTTATAAATCTGAAAATCCATCAATTTCTTTAAAAATTCTTCCTGATGTTTTATGCAATGATATTGGTATTGACATGTCTATTACACAAGACAATGCATTATTTAATTCGGTAATGAATTACTTCGTTTCTTAGCTGCATACGAAAATAATAATATTACGTTTTCATCAAAGCAATGTGAAGAATATAAACAAAGTTGAAATATATGAATAAATGAATTTGATAATTTTATATCATGTTTAATGACTCGTTCAAAACTGAAGAAAATACCTAACTTGCTAGGATTCATCCAGACAATGTTCTCTTGAAAGAAAGGATAAACCTGCGTTAATTTTACGAAAAGATACTGAAAGGATATCACTTAGTCATTCAAGAACATGTTTTATAAGTAACAAAAATACTCAAATTATTATTGTTCATGGTATGAAAAAAGTTGATTATGCAAAATATTGTCATTCTCATTGTTGTATACATCAAATGGAACAAGAAATAATCCATCATTCTAAACATTATAACACTGTGACACAATAAGCAAGGCATAGGTATCATTTTTTTGGAGCAACTTTATTCCACAGATTACGATGAATTTATTTTCTTGTTACGATGACTGATATTCTAAAAGAATCAGAGTTATTAGTAGGGATATAAGCTCATCAGCTGAGCCACTACTACCACCGTCCTTCTAAATAGTCAATGAAAACTTCAGCCGCCAGCGAGACATACAAATAGATGCTATATTTTTGGAAATTTTCATTATCTCGGATCTGTTATCATGATTGCTCTTGTCCACTTTCTTCCTTATTCTATTTCAAAATTTTACGAGATAGCTTTCTCGAACATAATTATCTTGACATCTTCATTAATGACTTCTTTTGGTTTGATGAAAGCGTTCCAGTATATCAATACTTAACATGCTTAATACCCTCACTGAAAATGTTTTCACAGATTGGAAAACAATTAGTCAGAGATGGAAACAGTTCGGTTAAAAATACCTGAATTAATCTACCATCTCTGATGCCTATGATATACTGGTAACAGGATATCCCCAATTTAGTATTTTCGGAATCTTGAATGTTGCACACGAGATAAGGGCACTGCCATATATTTTAAGACATTCAGATATACACAGACAAATAAATACATTAAACATAACTTTTTTCATACTTTGATCGCATTCAAATGAGCTTGTTTTAAGAATACAAGTTGTCATGTGTATAGAAATGATTATTTGTAATCGAAACAATTCTTTATGAGTTATAATGAAATATGTACACTCGTCGAATTGACCAGGATGGATGTGGGTGATTATTGTATATAACAAATCATACCCATATCCTCACAAATAAATCAATTGTTTAAATGTTACTCAAAATACATCGAAAGTTATATTGATTTATGAAATTTTGTTCTATATTTACAGGTGTATATACTGTTTACATATTAAATTTGAATATCGTAACTCTTTGACTTATGTCAAAACTAAAAATAATGTATTTGCTGCAATCAAAAAACATATTATAGATTTAAAAGAAGATCAAACACCTAAGTTAAAATTTCTCCATAAAAATATCAATACTTCAATCAATGATGATTTTATTAATTATATTAGTCATTTTATTCAAGAAGGACAAAAGAAACAAGAAATTAATGTTGAAAATGCTCATGTAATAGATACTCTTGAAAAATTAAGAATATTATATAAACAAGAAATCAATTCAGTTATGTCAAAAAAACATTAGAAAATATCAACATCTTCAATATTAAATTTGAGAATAATAGAATATTTAAAAATAATTTTATAATATTACAACTATTAAAAGAAATATTTCACTAAGAACAATCTTCAATTGGTCGATTTAAGTAAAATATTTTTTATCTCAATTTTAATCAAATTTTCTTTACTAAAATTGTGAACTTAAATGTTTCTTTTTTTCTTTTCAGATCTATATATTTTCTAACAATAAATAATTTCTATATGAATATGTTCTATCATGAGTTATTTGTTCATTAGTTACTCTACATTGTACATGGCTTAAACATTCTAGAAATGATTGAGTCAAGAGCTCAAAATGTTATTATGAAGTAAATACAAAAAATGCAAGTAATAAATTAGAGAAAAAAAACGTTATTATAGAATATTTAGGTGTATTTAAATAAGAAATGAAGTGCATAAGTAAAAGTCAACATGTTTTTGCTTTTTTCAATAAAGAAGAAAACAATAGATTATCATAAAAAAGTGTGATATCAAATAATTGACGGCTATATACTCTATCTGTGGAATTAATTACACGAATATTTTCTCAATTTTCTTCGTTTGTATAGTGGTAATGATTTGATTTTGTTTTCAACTAGTGAAATAATTACTGTTATTAGTATTGATGCTAAATATTTTCATGAGGTTTTTTTTTCTATTCGCAACTTTACTTCAATGAGATTTTACTTTGAAAAAAAAACGTGTAGACGTCTACCATTTAAATTGTTCGAATATTAAACTGAAGAAGTAGCATTTGGAGTTCATACATGTCAAACTTGAAAGTTGAATTCAAGTATTCAACTGTGCAATTATCGGTGCCACAAATTTACGGAGGGAAGAGGAAGTGCTTTTCGCTACCTAACTGACCTTTTATGTCAGCAGCGCGGTGCGGAGACGTGAAGCACTCCTTGAAGAGCCGTGACCCATGGGCGTCTCCGTGTATACAGTATCTGCAGCATCCCATCTAATGCCCGTAACATTTCAGGTGATGTCTGTAGCATCTTAGAATAGTTGAATATTTGAATCGAAAAGTTGAATACGTGTTGTTAAAATTTATATTGTTTACGAAGTTTACATGAAAACTTTTTAATAAACGTAGCTTAGATCATAATTCTTAGTCATAGTGAACTTGTCAGATTGAAATAGTGTTGTTATCACACTAAGCATAATAATGTTTATTCATTTTTAATTACATTACTATGCTGATATGAAAATTGAATCTTAAAATTTTATTGAAAATGTTGTATTTTCATATGGTCTACAATCAATTCTGTGTTGAACGCTTTTTTTTCTGTAAATAAAGAAGTATTTCATTTTCAAGAATATGTTTATATGTTGTTTGTTTTTTTGAAAAATTTGAATCTTAAACATAGAATATTCCAACTTTTTTTGTTGTAGATTGTCAAATCAAGGCATTTATTTACCAGTAAAAAAGTGAGTATATGAACGAGACTTCGCGCAGTCAATCAAGTTTGAACTTATTCAAAACTCAAGATGGATATCCAATCGAACGAAAAGTGATTGAACCTTCAGGTCGATTAGGTTCACTTTATGATGCTTCAACAGATAACTTAATTGATCGACATTCTGCTCAAAGAATTGAAAGTAAAATACCACGTAAACGTTTTACATGTCGGCTGCTCTCACGTGATCAATCGACAGATCTCATTAGTTTTCTCAAAGATATCGATTTTGACGATGCAATTCGACAAAGTATTTGTCTTCAAATGATCACACCAAGAGGCATTAGCCGTCTTATTGAATATAATCAAGTTGTTGATGAAAATACTCGTTTTCTATATTATTGTTACAGAGCTAGAAAAGAATGGTTAGATGTGACAGCACATCAAACGCATAAAATCGTTGCAGCACCATTAAATCCAACTGAAGCAACTCATATGATAACGAAAATCTTATGGGGTTTTGAAGTTTTATGTGTCATACAAATTCCAAAACATGAATCCGTAAATTCAGTCGATCAATTACTTCATCATATTTGTGATCAACTTCAAAATAATCGAATTCCAATTAAACTTAACAGTAATGATCGACAACTCATCAATCAATTAAATAATATTGTTGTGTATGGATCCGAAACATGTATCAATCAAGCGAATACATCATTATTAACTATTCTCACTAGGATACAAGATTGGCAAAAAGATTCAAATGTTCATCAACCACTTATTTATACGATGCAACCATTAAGATGGCTTTACAATGGTCCACAGTTTAATGTACCATGTAGTTTTCCTAGACCAGATAATCCTCATATTGCACGAATTGAAATTGTAATCAAACGAATAAATAATCAGATAAAAGATCTTGAAGAAATATTTCGAAATCTTCCAACAAATTTTTCAAGTACAATACTTGATCAACGTTTAAAAAATCTTCAACAAAAATATCGTTTTGTATTGAATTCACAGGATAATTTTCAAGAACATCTTCGACAAGCACTTAAAGATATTCGTCGACATTGTATCGAACCACCAACATTAGATGATATTATTGGTGATCAACGTTATGAATGTTTACGTAACAGCGAACTAGATAAATTTCTTACTAATATTCAACAATTGTTAAACAAATCGATATTAATCGAAAAATTAAAGAACAATCATATTGAATATTTCAATGTATTCGATATTCATTCTAATCAAGAAATACCAACGACGATTGATAATATTGATGCTATACTTAAACGTACTTATTCCAATAAAAATGATTCTGTAATTCTTTGGTATTCAAGTGATCGTTTAAAACGTGAAAAAGAAGATCTATACCAACAAATATATCAAGAATTAACTTGGGAACAACAACAACATGTAGAACAACGAATAAAATTAATCTATGTTGATTTCAGCTACTTCAAAGATAAATTAGAAGATTTTATCATTGTAAGATTACCATTGGCAGAAACACTGATAACTGAACGTGATTCTAAGAAAGGTAAGAGATTAGGTTAGAGAGAAAAATAGTTGATTTTTTTCGTTAGTTTCAGAGATGACATTTAGCTCTTTTCTCTATTAAGAAAAGTCGACTGACTTAAGCTAATTCTGGTAATAATCGTAATATGTTTGTACAGTGTATACAAAAATATACTCAACATACTATCAAATGAATCTTCCATAGTATAAAACTATCATTAATTTTCTGAAAATTATTATTCCTTTAGAATTATGAAAATAGTGAAAAAGGAATTTTGTAGAGTTAGGGAATCTTTTAGTATAAAAAAGAAAAATAAGTATTTCTGTTTAGACACAGTACATCTATTACCACCTTCAAAGCAACGAGCGAGATCATCATCTCCACTATCTAAACAATCATCGAGATCATCACCTACTTTGCCTAAACCTCCACCTGTACCTCCAAGAGAACCATTGTCAATATCAAAGCCGATTGAAATTAATGTACTACTCTTGGGAGAAATAGGTGTTGGAAAATCAACATTTATTAATGCATTTATTAATTACTTAAAATTTGAAAATCTTCAACAAGCTGAACAAGATGAGCCAGTTGTATTAATTCCAGTTTCATCTCTTATTACTGTTGGTGATCGATCGGATGAATTTGCTGTCAAATTAGGTAATGCGGATTCGAATGAGAATCATGAACAGCAAGGTCAATCAGTAACACAACAATGCAAATCATATGTATTCGATTTGAATAATAGATTACGTTTACGATTCATTGATACACCTGGTATTGGTGATAATACACGAGATATAAAAACTATTGATCATATATTGACTTACATTAATAATTTATCTCATTTAAATGGTATTTGTTTATTATTGAAATCAAATACTGCTCAATTGAATGTTTTCTATCATTTATGTCTTAATCAATTGTTAACTTATTTAACACCAACTGCTTATAATAATATTATTTTCTGTTTTACAAATACTCGATCAACTTTGTATGCACCAGGTGATACTGGTCTATTACTTCGAAAAATGCTTGATGATGAACATCTTAATAATATTCCATTTAAACAAGAAAATACATTCTGTTTTGATAGTGAATCATTTCGATATTTAGTTGCAAGAAAATGTGGTATTAATTTTGATGAATATCAAAAACAAGAATATATTTCGAGTTGGTATACATCAGTAACGGAATCAGTTCGTTTACTTAAATACATTCGAAAATGCAAATCATACTATCTAGAAGATTGGTTATCGCCACGAAAAGCTATTTTTGATATATTAATGCTTGTTCGACCTCTCCTGGAAACATTACGATTAATAATTTATAATTGGAAATTAAGTGAAGCTAAAATAAGTCTTAATCATATGGTATTAAATTCAAATCCAATCGATATTGAAATGTGTACTAATTGTGCACAAATTAAAGTTGTTGAAGTAGGTCCTTTTTGGTTAATTCAATATCAATCGGCTATTTTGGATAACAATACAAATCAACATAGCTGTTGTCCTATAAATGGAAAACATTTTTTAATTGAATTCAATGTAACACATGAATTTGTTCCACTACCAGCAGGTCTTAAAAATGAACGATGGCAAAGTTCTTTTCATAATTTTCTATTTAAATGTGATCGACTTCTTCATTTCCTACGACAACAAGAATCAACGATTCAAGATGATCCATTTCAATATATACTCGAACGATATCTCGAAGAAGAAGAACAAATTTCTCAAATTCCTAATATAAATTCAAATATGAATAAATCAATATATGATGTATTAAAATCTATAAAACAAATACGTGAAGAAAATAGACGAAAATTATTGGAATCAAATGAAAGACTTTCACTTAATCTCGTCTATCAAATAATCGATGAATTAATAGCCATACCGACCGTTAGAAAACAAATAGATAGTATTAAAAGAAGTCGTCAATTAAAAATGAAACAACATGAACGTACAATACCAAAAAACTTAATTAGAAACAAAATCTTTGCTTGATTTACTTATTTTTATTGATGATTTTTTTTAAATAATCAATGTTTCATTTTTGATAAAGTTTAAATATTTTAATTTTGTTTAAAACAATTCATTTTCATCTACTTAGGACATACCAAAAGCAATGAGATTTGAGTGGATGTAGATGCGGACATATCTTCATCTACACCCTACACCCTTTTTTTTTCTTCTGTTCTACACTTTGAAGTTTTGCACCAATCGACATTTGTGTACTTTTGCATGAGTATATTATGTCTGAAGTCTATCTCTGGCATAACTGCCTGTAAATAAATTATTATTTCCAAATATGAGTCATGATTGGGAGGAAACAAATATCTTTTCACTGGTTTAATAGAAAGAAGAAAAAAATCTGAGTGCTTCTTTTTCAGTAGAGTATAATTGAAGCAACAAAAAATGACGAATAAAGCTTGTTCCTGCAGTCTCTTATGGAACCACAACGTGTTTATACATAAGGTGCATGCAAATTACACTTTAAGAAAACAGTCTTTCTTAGCCTTTCTTACACTTGATATCATAGATATATTATCGACTGTGGTTATTTTTGCAATAACTCGACAATACGAATAAGCTAGAGACCCGAGGCTTTCATCATTGTGTAAAAATTGAGTATCTTATCAATTCGCTAATAAAAGATGGAAAATATCGACTTTGCAGGTAATGTCCATTAACAATCTTTGAAAAGTTTAAACATAATTATCTTAAATTTTATACTGAGTCATGGCTTTTAAATATGCAAAAGATAGTTTTGAAGGACCTTTACAAAACGGTGAAAGGCTAACCTCTACAGTTATTATGGTTCAAAAATGGCACACATTTTTCTGAGATTAATGCAAGTGCAATTATATCGAAATTAATTCTGATACAAAAGTGGAACTAAGAAAAAACATTTTGAGGGTGTAATGTGTGTGGATATCAACGTTTGAGGTGGAGGAGGGTACAAGAACATCCACGTTCATACACTCACATCTATCTGTTATTTTTTATTTTTTCTGCCACTTAAAAGCAAATGTTGTGGAAAATAGTCGATATCCACTTTACCTTTACATGGTACCACGACAAAAATTAGAAGAATTACATATGATTTATGAACTGATATTTTTTTTTTTCATATAACTGTACGATTTTATTCCCGCAGTAAAAATGTCTCGTCTATTTTTCGCATCGACTAATTGTCATAGTGACTAATTTTTGTAGATCCATATTTTCGTATTTTTCTTTTTGATCATAATCTTTCTACATTTTGCATTTCGATGTGTTATGGCAAATCGTAATAATTGAAGACGAAAGCTTATTAGTATATTGTGATCTTTAACGTATTTTGTTCCTACTCAGAGTACAGATGTGGGTGTTGATCATCACTTCAATCATATCTACACCCATCCGCACGCTACCCACACCCACACCCACACCCACACCTCACCCTCAAACCATTTCCTATTATAAAATGTATAATTTATTTTATATCTTTACATTAATAAAATTCTCGGCAATATCTTCCTGCCATGCCTTGATAAATTTTTCCTTCTTGTCTTGTTCAATACGAAAGGCTACTTCAGCTCCATTTTGATCTCTTTCCATCCATTGAGTGCCATCATATACTGGATTAAGACGAAATATACGAAGATATAATGCACGAGTCCATATTGTATAAAATCGACATTTGTTCGAATGACCAAAATCAACAAGACTCGCCCAATCATAGCGCCAATTAGAATTAACGATAATCCGATCATTAAAAGTTGACATTTTAGGAAATCGATTCTCATGCACTATTGTTCTTATCACTTTATTAGCAGTGGCAACCCAACGTTCAATAAATTCGACATTACGTGATTGCTTGATTGAATGACGAATAGTTTTAGCAATACTTGATAGAGATTTTGGATCTTCAAAACGATCAGATAATGGCATCAAGACAGCATTTGCAACAAGACCAGGTGGTGCAACCGAATCGGATACATTACGATAATTGATCATTATATTTGCACGTACAATTAGTTGATCATCGTTTTGTGTACAATGAGTGTTGAGTGTAAGAATAATGTAAGCACTCAGGGCATCTTGATTAGTCACATATTGATCACTGATCAATGTACGTAATTTGTT